ACAAGGATTCAGGAGTTTCACAGTAGATAAAGTAGATTTGAACTCACTGAAAAGAAGACACAGGAAACAAGTCCACGCTCCATCAGTTGCTGTTTGGAGCAGATTCAGAATGAGTAGAGCAGGCACTCTTCACTGAGATGAGGAATCAGGAAGAACAAGGCTTACAACACATCATACACTTATAACCTGTAAGGAAAGCTCCAGAGAACAGGAAGCTGATAAAACAGAAGCCTCGGGTCCACAGGGGAATTCTCTTCAACGTCTTACCCCAGCTATGATTTTAACATACAAGCCAGCTATTGTCAGCTTATACACAAACATCCTACCCACATGGAAAACTTGAAGCTTTCAAGTGGTCTTATGAAATCTCCACTGCATATTGATTCTTTGTCATTTAGTGCTGAGAGTAGAACATGCAGTTTTACCTACCTTCAGATAATGCTCCACCACTGGTCTGGAATCTCCATCAAGATGCTATTCTTTATAAGACATTTAATTTTTCTTCTTCCACTTTTTTTAGTGCATATTAATTGGAACAAATGATAGGTTGCATCATGACAAACCAAAAATACTTTTATCATATCTGAGCATTTAATTCCTGGCTGAGAAAGTTAGTACCTTTCTTATCTCTCCTGGTGGTCCACCTATAGTATGTTTCCCCAGAAGGCTTGCCAAAATTTGCATTGAATATTTCCTTATTGGTGACATTTTCAAAACCACACAGTTTTTTCTGAATCATTTGACCAAAAAAAGAATGGTTCCTTAGACTTCAGCCTGGTTCTGCTGTAGAGCTTTCTGTTGGTTCAGGTACTCTTAAATTTTGAAGGTTTCCATACAGCCCACTACAAAAGCTAGAGAGGAATTCCTGCATGAGTTTTAATGGGTCTGTGGTAAGGAATTGAATAGCAAATTTTTCTTCATATTGAAAAAGAAATCCCATCAAGCATTGAAATGCTAATAAGTTTTATTGCTATGGCAGATTCCTGAATTGTCATAATGTTTGTTGCACACTCTGGAAAACATGAGTCTTCCTGAGGCATTCAATGCCATGAGCCAGTAAGATATTGTGTGTAACAGAGAGAATGGGAAAAACTGACATAGCATGTGTGGACATTAGAGGATAACTCATGGGAATCCATTCACTCTTTCTTCCCGGTGAGTACTGAATATCCATTCAAGTTGTCAGGTGTGGCATGGCAAGTGCCTTTACCCACTGAATCATCTCAGCAGCTGAGATCTTTTCACCTTATTGGGTCATTAGCCATTGTTTTTTTATCATTTTAGGTGCCAGCATCAGTGTAAGTTTGCCCATTCCATGAAGATATTATCCAGGTGTTAAAATCCATCCCCCAAAAGCAAGCCCCAAGTCAGCAAATTCCAACATATCTGATCTCACTTTTCATATTTTGTTTATCGAAAGTCTAGAGCAGGGGTGCTCTGCTGACTCCTGACAGCACAAACCAGAACCTTCTAGCACATTCTCACAGTTGTTGCTATGTTTACTTGTTATTCCTTTAGAAAGCACAGACGATTTCATCATTTAAGAAAACATATTGCAAGATCTCCGTGCTTCCAAAAAGAAGAACTCACTTTATTCCTTCTTTCTCTAGACTTGAAAGGCACAAGTGCCTTGAGAATCTGCCAGGCAGCAGGAACCAGCTCAGCCGTATACTATGTTAGCTTACACAGATGCACAGTAGACAGGAAATGAGGAGATTGGAGTCTAATCTTGTTTCTGGCTAGTTTCAATTTTCTCATAAAAAATCCAAACTTTGTGGTTTATAATCCCCTCAGATATACCTAAACCTAACATAGTATAACTTGACAATACTGTAAAGTAACTTGTCCAAAATTCTTCAGCCGGTGGAACTGGCTTTTTTAATAGTTACAAAGAGCTGCCCCCTTTAAGTTTGTTGTATCATAATATCTGACTGCAAATTTACACCAATTAATGTATAATCAAATAAAGAAACATCTTAGTATGAAGTGCAAAAAATTTAAATTGACTTAATAAAATTACATTAATATGAAAAAATTTTTATATCACAACATAAAATTATGCACCCCTTGTTAAGAGAAGCTTTTTCCTTGCTAGCCGCTTTGGTTTATCCCCCGCCAGTCGCCTGGGCTCTGCCGCGCCAGCCTGTTTCGAGATCCGCATGAGTCCCAAATAAACACACAGGAGGCTATATTCATTATGAAGCTGTTGGCCTTGCTTGTCTCTTACTGGCTAGCTCTGCTTTAAGTAATTACCCCATAATTGTTAATCTAAGTATGTCTCTTACCGGAGAATAGTTCTGGGCTCCTACCCCCATGGCGGTTACATGTTGACTCTCCTGTGTTTCTCCTACCCAGAATCCTCCTGGATTCCTAGCCCCACCTATCTAGATTCCTATTGGCCAGACAGTGCTTTATTAGCATAAGACTTCCCCAACATCTCCTCTTTTCTGTTTAAACAAAAAGAAAGGTCTTAACTTTAACATAGTCAAATTGTATATGACAGAACAGTTATCAAGTAAGAACACAGTTACAACATTTTGTCTATTAACATTTAGCAAGATCTAAAGAAAATATCATCCATCCCATCCTTGTGAGTCTAAAGTTCTATATGTAGCTTATCTCTTATCATAACTAAGGAAAACTATAATTATAACTATCTGTCTTCAACTCCATCAAAGACCACAGAAGGATAATATATAAACACTAGGATTGACAGAGACATCTTGCTATCTGGACAGTCACCCGAAGTTCCTCTGGGCATCCATCTCAGCCCATAGGCCACAGTGTGTCTGGAACACTTCTCAGCAAAGCAGGAAATTTCAAACTGTCCATCTGCATTGGCAGTCTGTTATTCACTTTTCTTTGTCCTGTAGAAAGTCTCGTAGACTCTTTCATGAAGCAGGAACCCTGTAAGACTGAGTTCAGTAGTCACTTTCCTGTGGGTCCTGCCTGTCCAGTTTATACAGCAACAGTCAAACAGTCTAGGCAAGAGCAGTTTCTTGCCCAAATGCCTAATCTTGCCATGTTGAAAGCAAACTCCATAACAAGTTTCTTCGATGCCCATCTTCCTCTCAGACGTAATTGGTGCTGCCAGGAGCAGACATTTCTCATTGTCAAGAAAAACCCTAAACCATATTAAATGCCATGTTCTGAAGGTCTTTGAGAGGTTTGAAGACTGTCCATCTCAAATATATTTCTGTATATCTAGAAACCCTAACTAACCTAACTATAAATTCTGACTATTATAAGTAACTATCTATAATCTGTATTTAATTACGCATTACATTTTAAAAGATCAGTATAAGCACAATACTTAATCAGGAGGAGAAATATACTTATCCAAAATTGACTTTGAATTTGTATCAATAAATGAAAAGTAATACCCATACGATAATTCCCCTTTTTACCATTAAAAAAATATTGGCTGTGATCATTAGCCAATTATAAACAACCCCATTTAAATGAAAACAAAGATTTATAAACAAGATGGGAATTGGGACGTCGTTCATTCCAAACTGCTTCCTGCTGGAAGGGGGCACTGTTCATACCATGGGGATCATGACAAAACTCAGAAACCTGTATAAGTCCGTATTTTCGGGGTCTGTAAAACTGCATCATCTTAGCTGTTTCAATTGTTGGAACACCTGGTCCACTGCTTCCGGGGGTCTTGGTTGGTCAAACCACAGAAGACTGGGAGGAATTCTCAGCTTTTCATTTTCTGTAGAAACATAAATAAAAACTCCTTTTCCGAGTAACATATCCTTATGCTTAAATTTTGAAGTCAAGGCATTTTTAAAAGATAGAAGTTGGATTAATTCAGCAGCATTTATAATCAAGTGTACTTTAGCAGCAGTTCCTTCCTGAGCAAGCAAAAAACTGAAAAACACAATAGTGTACAGTATCCAGACTCTCTGTGTATTTTCCATCTTTGTGTGGCTTATTTATTTATTATTACTTTATTTCTTTCACTTTTATTTCTTTTTCTCTGAGACAGGGTTTCTCTTTGGAAACCTGCCTGCCTCTGCCTCTGGAGCAATTCCTACCGGCGTGCGCCACCACAGCCAGCTTTTGTATTTATTTACCACTTTGTCATTTCATTTTCTCTCTCAATCTCACATATATGTTTAAACACACTGTAAACCGTTAAAGGTTTGTCTTTATCCGAGTCTGACTTTACTGTAAATCTTTATGTTTTTCTGGCCACGTGTCTTATCTGTAAAACTGCGGCTGTTTTAAACTGCCAGTTTTTTTTTTTTCGTCAAGATGGCGGGCGTAAGCATGACTCCAGCTTACCGCCTCAGTCCTTGCTGACATCCAGCAAAAGCTGCCACTTCCAGCTGTACGTACACACCTTTCAATCGTTAGCAGAGTCTCTTAAAAGGACCTTGTTGGTTTTTTTTTTTTTTCTTTTTCTTTTTATGCCAAGTCAGGAAGACTCCAGTAAATGAGCCGCGTGAATCTCGGCTTGTTGTTAGCAAAACAGAGCACACCTGAGAAAAATGCTGCTACCAAAATCTGTGCTTCTCTCTGTTCTTCTGTTTTTAAAATTCCTTTAAATCTTCTGTTATTTTTCGTGGAAATTTATGATCCCACTCCTGATCACCATTATGTTAAGAGAAGCTTTTTCCTTGCTAGCCGCTTTGGTTTATCCCCCGCCAGTCGCCTGGGCTCTGCCGCGCCAGCCTGTTTCGAGATCCGCATGAGTCCCAAATAAACACACAGGAGGCTATATTCATTATGAAGCTGTTGGCCTTGCTTGTCTCTTACTGGCTAGCTCTGCTTTAAGTAATTACCCCATAATTGTTAATCTAAGTATGTCTCTTACCCGAGAATAGTTCTGGGCTCCTACCCCCATGGCGGTTACATGTTGACTCTCCTGTGTTTCTCCTACCCAGAATCCTCCTGGATTCCTAGCCCCACCTATCTAGATTCCTATTGGCCAGACAGTGCTTTATTAGCATAAGACTTCCCCAACACCCCTTAAAAAGGCATGCATGGTCTTTATGACCTCATCAAGATGCCTTCACTACTCGTACTTATTGTCACAGAAATAAACAGCAACTCCTTCCTTTCTCACTCTCTTTAGACACAAGCAGCCTTGTCCTTCTCTTGATAGATGGTTCCCTATCAAAATTCACAAGTCATTTGAGCCAGTTACTAGCAATTGGTGTTTCTGTTTCTCCTACTAGAGACAAGTTATTCCACAGCAGAACTCTGCAGTGCTTGGGAGGGATGTAGTAGCTGTTACCACAGGAGAAAGGAAAGAAGAGGAACTCAAAAGCATATTTAGGGTAAGTTGGAAATGTTTTGTAAAAACATGAATCATGGAGAAGGACCACACAAAGATGACTGTGGCGTGGTGAACAGCCCAAAAAGGCTCATAGTGAAAGGAAGGAAGCAGCTTTGTAATCAAACAATTGCAGGAGAGTGCTATACTGTGTTAAGTGCTTAACCGCCTCACTGAAGCCTGCAACTTCAATTAAGGAAGCTGGTGGGCTAAGGACTCTTACTGTTGAGAATGGTTGTGACAAGACATGATCTACAACCCACTCAGTACTGATATCCCACCAGCTCCTGCCAGGCCTAGAGAGAATTTCCTTGTCCTTAGTTGACCCGCCTCGTGTACCTGTGAAGAGAAAAGCTTTTGTTGAGAATATCCATCAAGCTTCTCAGGATATTGGGTTTGTTTGGTTTCAGTAGAGTTGTTACTGCGTCATTCCAAAGACAGGAAATAATAGATTCATTTCTTCTAATGGAGAGACAGTGTACAGTTTAAAGATGGTTTATTAGCATCCAGTTTATGATTCTCGGGAGTTATTTGGGTGCATAACTCACCTCCTGGGTCCAGAGGCAGTCTCGTAAACCTCAGCAGCACTTTCTCCCCCACCTTTTTTACTAAATAGAAAGCTACGGTACAGTTTCAGCCTGGTTATATATGATGTTAATAAATGTGCCACACACACTGTCTGCTCCTTTAAGTAACTCTGCTAACCTGGACATATTATCAGAGATTTATGCCACTGCAGTGTCTGAGGGGGATTCGGGAAATGGTTTTGGAGATGGAATTAGACCTGTTCACTCTCTATATTTCAGATATGCCATGAGGAAGACTGTACAGCAGTGCTTGTAAAGAATTAAAGGGTGAAATAACAAGAGAACCACAGTGGAGGAAATGGTGTACAACTTTGTCAATATGGATGATTTCCTATCAAACACTGGCTATATTTTCTGTCATGAGTTTTAAAACCCTCTAATGAAACTTAGTATGTAACATGCTTTTCACACTCAGCAACCTGGTTTGGAATTCTGATTAGTTAAATAAAACATGTTATTTAGTTGTTTAATAACTATTTGTTAAATGTATAATACTAATCTATAAAGTACCCTGGGTCAGAGATTCTCTCTCTCTCTCTCTGTCTCTCTCTCTCTGTCTCTCTCTCTCTGTCTCTCTCTCTCTGTCTCTCTGTCTCTCTCTCTCTCTCTCTCTCTCTCTCTCTGTCTCTCTCTCTCTCTCTGTCTGGAATCCAAAAGAGATATCTGTGCCCAGTATAAAATAGGTGTTCTGTATTCATTATTACCTGAATGGATGATATAAATAATGTCTTACTATTCATAGATGCTATTTAGATATTTTTAGCTATTTCTACAGGAAAGAACTCATGGTATAAACATGGGCATTTATCCGGGTGGCTCTAAATATTGAATCATCAAAACAGAAGGAAACAGAAAATCTGAAGGTCTGCAATGTGGTTGAACAAGACGGCAGCCAGCCAGTCAACTCCCAGCTTTATATCTCTAAAGAACCTTCGTTACAAAAGACAGTAAGGTATTATTGAACTACTGAGCTTAAAGTAGATAAATATTAAAATAAATTTGTTACTATTAATTAGATCTTGGACTAGAAAAAATTCAAAGGATGATACTGCACTTTATGTTAAAATATTTATTTATTATGTGTATGTGTGTCCCTGAGTGTATTATGTGTGCCACATGCATGCAGGAGTCCAGAGAGGACAGTTAGAGGCTTTGGGTCCCCTGGAACTGAAGCTGGAGCTACAGATAGTAGTTATCTGCCATGAGGATGCTGGAAACTGAACCTAGATCCTCCATAAGAGCCACAAGTGCTCTTAATCACTGAGCCATAGCTTCAGCCTTCCATACTAAAAATTTAATATGTGTTTGAGAAATAGGTTTGCATCACTGGTGAAACTCCTGGGTGCTATCACTATACAAAGAATGCCTTTGTTGTTAGGACACACTGAAGTGTTTGCCAAGCTAAGCTAACCAGTCTTACTATCTAATGGTTCAACACACACACACACATACACACACACGTGCACACAAACACACACACACACACACACACACAGAGACAGAGACAGAGACAGAGAGATAGAGAGAGAGAGAGAGAGAGAGAGAGAGAGAGAGAGAGAGAGAGCCTTGGCCTAGAGATATGGTTCAGTGGGTAAATCTTTCTGTACAAGTGTGAGGACCCATCTATAATCCAAACACTCATATAAGGAAACGGGAGAAAGAGACAGGAAAATTCCTAAATATTTCCAGACCAGCTAGCTTTCTCCTTGTTTGTACACAGTGATGGACAAGAAGAAACTGCTTCAAACAAAGTAAGAGACAAGAACAAACACCAAGGCTGTCTGCTGACCTCCGGAACACACATGTCTGCATTCACATACACACACACACACACACACTGTGTATATTCACACATGTACGCAAAAATTTTAAAATACTAATAATCAAGTGTGTGTGTGTGTGTGTATGTAATTTCAGTCTTTATTTTCCCTCAAAAGTTTGTGAATTAAAGGCTTTGTTCCCAGTCTAATGCAGTATGAGGTGGCGATAGAGTCATTGGGAGGTACATCCTAGGGAGAGGTTTTAGGGTGTTCTCAAAGGGGACTATTGGACGCTGGTGTCCTTTTCTTTCCATGTCCCAGCTCTAAGTTGAGGGGTTATTCCATACACATATACCTTAACATACTGCCTCCCACAGGCTCAAAGGCAATAGGGCCAACCAATCAGAGACTGAAACCTCAAATATCCTGGTGTCTTTATGAGTTGCTTATTTGGGTGTTTTCAGTTGCTGGGAACTAATTAGCACATGTACACTCTGTATGGATGGAGAGAGTAAGTGAAAAGGGAAATAGGGGAGAAGGGAATGGGAGAAACCATGGCCAGAAAGGGATCTAGATTAAGGGTCTGGATGTAAGGATCATACAGTTGTTCTGTTCCCGCAGCTTTGCCCATACCATTTATGCTTAAATTTTAAAAAAGCTTTGTCTAGTTTCCTCACTCCGTGCAGGGGGCCCTGCTTCTCCAAAACACAAACACAGGTTTTGTATACTCTTGTACCTAACAGGATGTAAGTTTGGACATCAAATGACCAGGCAGTTGTCAAAGGACTTCAGTTCATGCCCTACAGGAAACTTTGAGGTTAAAGTCTCCATTCAACTTGTCACACTGAGATATTTTGAAGCCTTTAAATACAATGACCTCTCTTTCCACAGGCAATTTCCTAAAGGCCTCTGTGTTGGAACACACATGGACAGGCTGCTTTAAGTGCCCATTAGTCTTCAAATCTGAAATAGAATCCACCCTACACTGAAGAAGAAGGATAAAAAAGCATGAACTACCTCAAATGAAAAACAGCAAAATACATCACGGAGTTCAAATGGCAGAGTTGAGCAAGATGGTCCCACTTCGTGCTACATCAATACATCTCTATAATTTTATATGTGAATGGGGCTCCCGAATCCAGAAATACATAGGTACCCAAGCAAGTAAATCTCTTTCATTCATGGGGAGCAGAAGCCTTTGTCTGATATTCAGGAGCTTGTCTAGAGATTTAGGCTAGAGAGAGAGGGAGGACACTGAGGAGGAGGGTGAGGGGAGGGAGAGAGAAGGAGAGGGGAGAAAAAGAGAGGGAGGAAGGAAGGGAGGGAGGGAGGGAGAGAGAGACAGAGAGAGACAGAGAGAGAGAGAGAGAGAGAGAGAGAGAGAGAGAGAGAGAGAGAGAGAGAGAGAGAGAGAGAGAGAGAGAGAATAACTTAAATATCATAATATCACAGCTGGAAGACCTGGTTAAACATGATTCAATTTCATTTTGCCATTGCAGGCAAATCTTGGCCAATGTTTAAATCACCTAGTCCTTCACACGAGCAAGAAAATCAATTATTCGTGCATTGATTTCTACCATTATCTCCTGGAGAACTCAGGATCTGACTTTTAATAACAATCATAGAGGCAGCAATATGATCATGGGCCAGCAGCCCTGGTACTCTCCCGTTTGGTAGATTTAATGAAACAGTCGTGCATATTGATGCTGCTCTCCAGCATCAATTTTTTCAGCTATTGAATTTCACCCTTTCTGTGCCCTCCCACTTCTTCAAATTTTGAAGGTCATTTTCAATTTCAATCCCGTTTCCAAGGCATTAGCCACCACATCCAACTCTCTGTCAATGGGATATTTAATAAACGCCCTGATTCCACTATCCAAGAAATTAATGAAATTTCTGAGACCCACAATAAAAGTTTTCAAAGCATCTTTCCTCCCAACTCGAAATCACAATGAGCCGTTAACAAATACTCTCAATATGAGCCAGCTGTGTACTTAACAGTAAAATGAGCTAAACCCCATTTTTGTCATTTTTTGATAAATATGACAAGGGAGAGTGGATTTTAAATGCTCCAGGAGGTATAAGGAAGGGTTGAGATGCATTCATTCGCCCTTATCTGACAAAATGAAGAATAGTAACCATGTCAGGTAGTGTCAGGTAGCATGCTTAGCCTTTCAGGGTTGCTTTGAATTGTTATTTCTAAAATCCTTGAATTCTAACGTTTTCTCTGGGTCACCTTTCTTAACCATTTGGAAGAAACATAAGTTTGGAATCAAACTCACTGGAGGCTAAATCCTATCTGTCTATCATATAAGAATAGGAAAAAAAGAGCAGGTGTTTTCCATTTGTTTTCAACCTGCTGGGCACCAAGGCCCTTGTTTGTAACAGGAGCTTAATTCTTACAAGTTTTAAGACTGGGTGCAAGGACTAACAATGTAGCTTTACTTGAATACAAACAGTATAAGACACTGCTTATCTCCTGTTTTGTGCCATTTGCAAGGTTGTTTCTATACTATAAAATCTCTGTGGTCAAGTGGTACGTTTGGGCACTTGCATAATAAATGAGTTGTGAGCTGCAGCTGTCGTTCCCCCTCCCCCCGATTTCATATATCTACACCCTTTCTTATTGATTTCTTACACCCTGGGGTTGGTATAACCCAGGGCAATAGTTCAGGCTTGTCCTGTAATCAATTAGGAAATGCTTGAATATGCTACATGTTAATTATGGGTCTCAGAAAAATTATCAAGCTTGTTTACACTTCCAAAGGAGTACACTGTAATAGCACCCAGGTCCCAGCTTCTAGGACTCCTTTTTGGGGTTCCCCAAGATTGGGGTCCTTGCAGCATTGAACAAAGGATTGTTGTGTTGTGGTTATACAAGTTGAGTATCTGTAATCCAAAAAGCTTGAGACAAAAAAATGTTTCACATTTTGAATTACTATGGATTTTAAATATTTTCATGTAGATTTTATAGATGCTGAGAAACACTGAAATTGGGGCCAAAGCACGAAATTCACTTATTTCTCACATGCACTTTGTACACTTACTCCCAAGGTAATTGTGTGTGCTTTAAATGTTTTTAAATCATATTTGTGTTAGTTCATTTTGTTACATGTATAGATGTGACTATGTACAAACACACATGCCCTAGCATGTGTGTGGTGATCTCTCTGTACACTATTTTTCTCTCTCTCTCTCTTCTCTCTCTCTCTCTTTCTCTCTTTTCTCTCTCTCTCTCTCTCTGTCTGTCTGTCTCTTTGTCTCTCTGTCTCTCTATCTCTGACTCTGTGTGTGTCTGTGTGTGTGTGTGTGCGCACAATGGGCTAAGCCCTCCTTCATTAATCCCTAATTACAAAGATAACCTACTAATGGATTTTATGGCAGCATTTCCTCAGCTGAGATGTCTTCCTGTCAGATGACTATACCTGGGTACCTGTGTCACACTGACATAGAAATAGCTAGTACAAATGATCTTAAGATATTTTTATTTAGAAATTTCCATATAATACATTTTTATTACTTTCCCCTCTCCCAACTCCCCACAGAACCTCCTTACTCTCTCCTCTACCTACCCAACTTTATGTTTATATATGCAATATAATATATATCCATCTCTATCTCACTTTTCTCTCTCTTTCAAAAACCAAACAAACAACAAACAAAAAACAACCTTAAGATTCGCTTCTGTTCTGCTGGTTACTAGCCCACAGTCAATGAATTCTTATTATCTACACTTCCCTTCCTCTTTCTGTTTATATGGCACTCTCCTGAAAATGTGGACCAGGATAGTTTTATTCAGTTTTAAAGACAAGTCCTACAACAGTGTGTATCACATAATAAATACACAATAAAATATGTTGGCTATGTGAGGGATGAGTGGAAGAAGATGCGTCTCTTTGATACATGTTATAGTTTGGGGCAGATCTAGGGCAGCTCTTCACTAATCCTACCCACATTTTCCACAGCAGCACTCTCGCTTCCTTTAGAAAGCCGTCTGATTCTCTAACAGTTTCACATGAGCAGACTTGGGGATACCTCTATAAATTTCAGCAGAATGGTTTATTTCCTGAAATCCTGTGAATTCTCACATGAAAAAGAGTCACAATGGTAAAACTCTCATCCAAGATCTACTGAAGAAAAGAATGAAAAGCCAACCCTAGGGGAATCCAAGAGTGTGGATGTGATTGCCTATGTCTCCAATAGAATAGATGCCTTTGAAGAGCCATATCATACTCTAAGGACATCATTTGACACACAAAGACACAGACAATGAACACTGCATTGTTTGTCATGACTGTGGGAACAGACCTAAGTACAAATAAAAATATAGAAGTACATGAATTATGTGCATGAATTATGTCAATAATGAAATAGTCGTTGTAAGTTTTAGTGCCTATGACATGATAAGATTCTCAGTGAGTAAACACTCCATGTACAAGCCTGACAACCAAGTCCAGTCCTCAGAACCACAGGTCTTAGTTAGGGTATCTATTGCTTTGAAGAGACAACATGACCATGACAACTCTTACAAAGGAAAAATTTGGGTGGCTTACAGTTCCAGGGGTTTAGTCTATTATCAAGGCAGACATAGTGTTGGCAAAGGAGATGAGAGTAGAGAAGGATCTACATCTTGATCTTGCAGGCAACAGGAAGGGATCTGTGTCAATGAACATGGCTTGAGCATATATGATACCTCAATGTCTTCCTCCACAGTGACACACTTCCTCCAACAAGACCATACCTACTTCAACAAAGCCACAATTATTAATGGTACCACTCCCCTTTGAGGGCTTTTTTCTTTCAAACCACCATACCATATAAAGGTAGAACGAAAGAACCAACTCCACAATGCTGTTCTCTGACATCCATAGGTACATTATGACACAAGTATTCATACACAAAATTAATTAAAATCTATAACATCTTACAGTAAAATATATGAAGATATTTTTAGATATGTGATTAAATGTGGAAATCCAGAAACAAGTTCTAGTTAATGAACACTAAAGTGATCCTAAAATTAGTTTTAAAACAGTTCTATGGACAGAGGTAGCAGCAAAGAACACAGAATTGTAGAAGATGTGGAGTATGACTGTGTATGTTCCAAAGGTCTTGTAATCTGAAGGCTCTACCATTTAAGGTGGCCCTGGAGAAGCCTGAAGGTAAATGATGCTTACTATAAAACTCAGAAATGCTCAAGCAACTACCTAACTCTGAAAAAGAACGTCCATATATTCAGAAAAAAATATTTAAATAAAAAATAAAAAGTATTCTATACAGAATATCTCTAATACCACTGCCAAATGAATAAGGTAATACTCTGAAAGCCAGGAACTTACTCTGTGAAGAAACCAACTCAGAAATACTCTAGACATTAATAAGCTTAGGTAATATCCTAACACCATGTGAGTTAAGTTCTGAACTCCCTGACTCACTTCATTTATTCCCTACAATGCTCAAGGCTCCAGTTCTTTCCAGCTTAGTCCTAGGGCTTCTCTCTGCTTATCTCCTTTAATCTTCTTTTGGTTGGAAAATTTCAGTTTTAAACAAGATTATCTGAGGGAGCGTTTAACCTATTCAAGAAAAAGAAGTTGTAATCACATCATAAAATTCTTTACAAACAATTGTTAAAATCTCTTCTGGGACTGAGTTTTCAGACTCTCTACCCAAAGATACTATTCTTGGCTTTTTGTTGTTGTTGTTTTTGTTATAAGCCCAGCTTTTAATGACTTATCCATCACACCAGCCCCTGAAAATTCTATTCTTGATATTAATTCTTTCATTACATGCTTCAGCGGCAAAACAACACTTCTTAGAATAAAGTCCATAATTCATACTTCTCAATAAACCTCATCTGTCTTTTCCCAGTTGGGCTGCATTAATATCACCATGTGGGGAGACTTTACTGTAAAGATTCTCACTGTGAGACGAGTGAGGCTGGAGGATTCAATTTCTCCATCATCCCCTCCCCAATTCCAGCAATATGGGAATCAGGAACTTAACAGGCCTTTCAAATTAAACACCTACAGCACTGCCACAAACACTCTATGGACCTACCACCTTCTAGTAGTACCACCCTGGAGACTGAGTCTTTAGCTCATAGGTCTTTGTAGAACATCTAAGATCCAGAATACTGTGGTACTCAT